TTTTTAGTTTATATTTATATTTTTAATGTATTTATTATTTATTTTTATTTTATGTGGATGAATGTGTTGCCTGAATGCAAGTGCACCTGTGCCATGTAATGTTCATGGAGGTCAGAAGAGGGCGTTGGATCCCCTGGAACAAGAGTTATGGACCGTTGTTAACTGCCATGTGGGTAGTGGGAATTGAACCCTGGTTCTCTGCAAGAGCAGTCAATGCTCTTAGCCACTGAGCCATCTCTCCAGCCCCAGATAATTATTTTCTTTAAAATTTCCTACTTCTAATAGCTTCTCCCTAAAAAAAGGTCTCTATATGATAACCAGAGTGGTCTCTCAAAAAAAGTTATCACTGGGTGTGGTGGTGCAGCACTTGGGAGGCAGAGGCAAGTGGATCTCTGTGAGATGAGATTAAGGCCAGCCAGGTCTACATAGCAAGTTCCAAGCCAGCTAGGGCTACAGAGAGACCCTGTCTCAAAAAAAATCCTAAAAATTTATCATTTTCTCATGTTTTGTTTCAATATTTATTGCCCTTAGGATACCTGTCTCCTCACAATATACACTAAGCAAATTGAAGCTCAATATAAAACTATGACTCAGTCATTTACACCTTTGCACCCCATTCTATTCTGCTAAACCATGTTTTCCAAATGCCTTCTGTATTAGCTTTCTATTGTTGTAACCAAAATGCCTGACATAAACAACTTTAGGGAGGAAGTCCTTCTTTTGGCTCATGGTTTGAAAGGGTTCAGGCCAGGCATGCTTCGCCTCTTGTACTTGGGCAGAACACCACAGCCAGAGGGAATGTGGCAGAAAGATCTTTCCTCAGTAGGACTGGAAGCAGAGAGAAGACCCATGGGTGTCAGGGACAAGATACCCTCAAAGGCACATCCTTCATGAGCTACTTCCTCCAGCTAGGTCCCACCTCCCCAAGTTCCCAGAACCTCTCCAACTTGTACCACCAGTTGGGGACCTGAGCCCCCAACATAGGAGGCTTTTAACATCTTCCTACTGCTTGCTTCGACCCATAGTTCAAATCTCAGATTAGAAGTCCACTCCCAGAAAAACAGCATCTCTACCATCCAATCTGTAATATTCAGTGTCAGCCACCGACCACAGTACAACTACTGTGCATGTGAAATGCAGGTCGTCTGAATTTAGATGTTAAATGTAAAATACACACCAGACCTTAGAGGCTTAGTTTAAAAAAAGGGGGGGTTGTAAAATAGCTTAGTAATGATTTTCATATTGGTTACATGTGAAATAATATCCTGGACATATTCATTAGGTTGAATAAAATATATTATTGGAAATTAATTACAGTTTTTTAGAAAACTTTCAAAGGATCTATAAGAAACTGAAAATTACATGTAGATTGCCTCATATTTCACCTGGACAGGCCCTAGACTAAGTAAGACGGAGCTCCTTTTAACAGTATGCTATAGTTATTTTTATACTAACATTTGTCTTTGAAAATTACTAAACTGACTTTTAGACTACATTACAAGCAGTTTATGAGCAAGGGGATGACTTATCTTGTGGGAATTCCAGAGATAAGGGTGCGAAATAAATACAACCAATCCTCATTACATTAGGATTCCATATTTGGGGATTGATGTCTGTACACACACACACACACACACACACACACACACACACACACACACACACCCCACAACCTAAAACCTCCAGGATCAATACACGTGATGCTTTCTAAGTAACTTGCAAATGTGCACAGTGATTTGAGAACTGCACATTTTTCTCGCTGAGGTCAAACACAGCAGTTCTCTTTTATTGTTTCAACTATCAAACTGCAAAGACGAATTCTTTTCGGTCTATTTACTGCCATCATTTGGGGGTCTTGCTTCTTTTCTGTTTTGCATTTATACCTTCTGTTGGTGATTTCACTGTTTAAAATGGCCCTCAAATGTCATGCTGAACATCTCAAGAACAAGGTTGTTTTGTGTCAAATAGAGCAAATAGGTGTGGAGGTAAAATACCTTCAAGCATGGTGATGTTAGCCACATATTAAATGTTAACAATATATATGAAATAAGGTGTCTTTAAATAGAAACATACACAACAAAATCTCCCACTAACCATGTAACCACAGACCACAAGGAATCTAACCCTGTGAGTCTCCTAGTAACAAAGTTCAGTTTGCTAACTAGGCGTTCCACAGATTTCAGAGAGGGAATGTGTATGTGTATATGTTGAATTAAATGCAAGAGTTATGTAGTTATGATAGTAAAGCAGTGGTTTCATCTTCAGTTTTCTGATTTATTAGCTGCATAATGTAGGGCAAATTGCTTATTTTTCTGTCTTTTCCCATAATTCAACATGCAGATTAACAAGTAACTGCTAATGATTGCCAAGGTCGGGGGGTGGACGGCAGGGCTGAGGATAACAAGGCATCGGGAACTTTTGGAATGAGGAAAATATTCTATTTCTTGAGTATGGGGGTTGTTCTAGAACTGTTTTTCAAAGCTCATAGAACTAAAAGTAAATTTTATTTTATATACATTAAAACTTAAACATTAAAAAACAGTAGTAGTCAAGATTAAACAATGGAGGTGAAACAGTACACTACCTATATATTTTTAAATATTAGCACTCATCCTAATGGAAAAGGTTTGGTGGTGTAAGGAAAAGCAGAGGGAGCTCACAAACCAGGGTTCTAAAGTGACTCTCACATGTTAACCAGAGGGTGCATTTAGTTTCTGCCAGCCATATGCTTAACGTGATGGTTAAACAACACAAGTGAAATGTATGTTCACCATATATATATATATATATATATATATATACACATATATATATATATATGTATAAATGTGAGAAATGGTATTACTCATAATGGGACAGCTACCCAGGACTACATTAATCGGGTTGTGTCGTGGGAAGTCATTTCCTACGTTCTCTCCAAGGTCGTAGAAACGCAGTGGACCTGTGAAAGGGGAGCACACCTCTTAAGAACCTGTCTTTAATCCTATTCAGTCTGTGGGCTCTAGGTCAGTTTTGATGAGAGCCCAATGGTTTCAATGTGGTATGGAGAAAACTAAAACAGCAAAACCCAAACTGCAGCGTACCCCAAAAGCCAGGAGAAACGCAGGGCGGGGCAGAACTCCTCTGAGCACAAGGGTAGTTGGTTCACCATCCTTCAGTTCCCACCCCCGCAACACCGCTGACCAACACCTTCTTGAAGGCTCAAGCACGGGTCCAACCCCTGGCACAGCTGCAAGCCGTACCTAAGGCTCCGACCCAAACTTCCACTACCAAAGAGACGCGTGGAGGAGATGCGTGGAGAATCCCAGGACAGTCTCGAAGCCCCGGCGGGCCACAGGCAGGAAGTGGTTCCGTGGGTGTCCCCGAGTCCCCAGAGCTGAGCTGAGGAAGAACCCTGCCCTGGGCTCAGAGAAGCCTCCACCGCCGGCTCCGCAAGCCGGAAGTGCACTAATCCGCAGCACGTGGGGTTGCCAGGGCGCGCTTCACGTGACTGGGCGGGGCCTGTGGAAGCCGGGAGCCAATGGGAGAGCTGGGGGCGGGGCTTGCGGCCCTCCGGGGCCTATCCCGGAAGTGCGGCCTCGGCGGGGCGGGCCCGGGCGGGGTGCCGGGTGTGGGAAGCGTGGCGGCCCCGCCCCGTCGCCTGGACCAGCTGCGGCCGCCACAGCTACCGACGCCGCCGCCGCCGCCGCAGCCGCAGGGACCGGCGTGGACGCAGCAGAGGCGCGGGGTGCCCGCTGGAAGGTGACGACCTGGGGCCGGGCTGGCGGGGCGGGAGCCAGCATCCCTGGGGTCCGAGCCGGCCGGGATGAGAGCGGGGAGGCGGGCTAGCGCGGGACCTGCCAGGGTGCAGGCCCTTTGCAGCCCGGCCCGACCGGGATGCTCTGGGCGGCGGCGCTGCGGGTGCTGGGTGCAGGGTGCGCTGAGGCCCGGGTGCTAGGGGCCGGGTCCTCCTGTCCCCATCCTCCCATCTTCCCGGGGACGTGCGGCCTGGGCTAGCGCCGGGGCACTGGAATAGCGATGAGGGATGGAGGCGCAGGGCCCGGCATCCCGGCGCAGGAAGGTCGCCGGCTGCTTCTGCAGCGGGATGATGGAGATCGGACTCGCTGGGCCAGCGCGGGTGTCGCCACCACCCCCAGCCAGCTCTTCTGCGGCTTCCCTCCCCACCTCCCACCGAGGGCTGGAAAAGTTTGCAGAGGCCTGATTGGCAAAGTACCCACCACTCTTCAGTGGGTGTCTTACAAATGCAAAAATAATGGACCCGCGGTGCCTTGTAACCCGTCCCCCAAACCTGCCTGCATGCCTGTCATTAAAAAGCAAACAAACTTTTTGCATAGTTGTCCGGGAAAAACTACGCATCTCCCCAGCCCACCATGGCAGACGAAATTGATTTCACTACTGGAGACGCTGGGGCTTCCAGCACTTACCCTATGCAGTGCTCGGCCTTGCGCAAAAACGGCTTCGTGGTGCTTAAAGGACGACCGTGCAAAATAGTGGAGATGTCAACTTCCAAAACTGGAAAGCACGGACATGCCAAGGTAAGCGCCCTTCCGCGTCATTCTTTGGCTTCAGCGTTGAAACTGTGATCATTTGTATTTCATTACGGATCCTGGGTTCGCTATAGTTGAAATAAGAACTCAGTTTTCTGAGTGATTAGCTGTATTACTCTGAATGTTTTCCTTTATTGGGCCCTTAGTCTGTTTCATTAACTGGGAACTTGCCTGAATCCTAGTGAATCCCTTCCTAAATCCTCCTTTGCAGTTGAGAAAACCTGTTCCAACAATTCTAAGAAACCTGCCTTCAGTTTTTTGTTTTGTTTTTGTGGACTCTTGTAATGAAGTATTGGAATCTATATTACATTGAGTCTTTCCATGTCGAAATACTGTTTAGGTGTTCACTGCATCTCAATTCTATGACCGCACATTTTTTAAGAAAGTGAAATAAGATGACCTTGGAAAGCTCAGAAGAATCTGTTACAGTGCTGGGATTGTGGTCCTGTGTAATGAGTGACACGCTTGACAGACAGGTTTCCGTTCTTCCCTGTTAGGTACATCTTGTTGGAATTGATATTTTCACAGGCAAAAAATATGAAGATATTTGCCCTTCTACTCACAACATGGATGTTCCAAATATTAAGAGAAATGATTATCAAGTAAGTACTAATTCCTTTGCCGTTTGTTTCATAAAGGTGCAGATACTTTGCATTAACAGTAGTTTGCCAAAACCTGAGGATGGTTTTGTAAGTCTTTTTTTCCTAACCACTTATTAGATTCCACTTATCTTACAAATTTGGGAAATGGTGATTTTTTAAAAAAATATGTTTTTAAAGAATTTGAAACAGGGAAGCTGGACAGATGGTTTGGTGCTTAAGAGCTCTGGCTGCAGAGGACCTGGGTTTGGGTCCCAGCACCCACAAGGCAGCTAACAAACATCCTTAACTCCAGTTCCAGGGGAATTTGACCCCCTCTTCTGGCCTCTGTGGGCACTGCATGACACAGGTGCTTTTACATACATGCATGCAATATACTCATACATACAAAAAAATAAAAATAATAAATAAACTATTTAAAACTTTTTGAAACAGGATACCATGTATCCCAGGCTGGCTTTGAACTTACTGTGTAGCCAAGCATGACCTTGAACTCCTGATCCTCCTGCCCTGCCTATGAGTGGAATTAACAGATGAGCATACCTGGTTATTCTGTGCTGGTTATCAAATCCAGAGCCTTGTACCTGGTAGGCAGGTACTCTACCAACTCAGCTATATCTTGAGCCCCTATTCCTGCTTTTTAAAAAAAAATGCAGCTTTGGGCTAGTGAGATGGTTCAGAGGTCGAGTTACTTGCTGCGAAGCCTGACCATCTGAGCGGAATCCCCAAAATCCTTATGGTAGAAGGAGAGGACAGAATCCCTCTGACCTCCACACATATGCCATGGTGCATATATATGGTGTATGTATATACATATACACATAAACAAATAAATGTAAATAAAAGTTAAACATGCATAGCTGGGTGTGGTGACACATGCCTTATAATGCTAGCACTCTTTGGGCAGAGGCAGATGGATGTCTGAGACCGAGGCTAGCCTGGGCTCCATATTGAATTTCAGACCAGCTGGGGCTACAGGGATACCCTGTCTCAAAAAAAAAAATTAAACATGCAGTATTCTTCAGATCAAATATACTTTCTGTGAATAAGTCCAATATTTTATAAAATTACTATTCTCTCTCTTGTAAAGTATTTCAAGTTAGATAACTGTCTTCTGGATGTTTTATTTCTTTTCACTGAGCAGACCTAAAATTTTGAAGACTAGAATTTATATTCTGTTCAGCCAACTTTGTGCACTAATGAATGTAAGTCAAAATCTGGTATCCTTAAGTAAAGAAGCAAGTTGAAAGCCATAAATATAAAGAACCTGGTCACTGAGTGAAAATAAAACATGTACTTGGTTTATTTATATTCATTGACCTTTTATTAAGTTGTATGTATAAACTTGACGTTTTAGTTCCAATTAGACTTCCAAATAGATCATCTTGAGTGATGGCATTTTGTGGTTTGAGAAATGATGAAACCTGACCTCGTGGAATGTGGATACTCCGACTGATCATGGCTAAAGCAGTTCTTAAGTCTTCTCTTTTAGTATCAAATGTAATATAAGCATGACACTTAGACTTAAATTGATTTCTTTCTATACCACTGTATTAGTTACTTTTCTGTTGCTGTGATAAAACATTGTGGCCAAGGCCACTTATAGAAGGAAGAGTTTATTTGACTTAGGGTTCTAGAGGGTAAGAGTCCATCGTGGCAGGGAGGCATGGCAGGAGACAGCTGAACAGGAAGCTGAGTGCTCACATCTTCCAGAAGGTATGGGAAGCAAAGAGAGACAGAATGAAAGAGGTAAGCTGTGTTCTCTGAAAGCCCGCCCCTAGGGACATACTTCCTCCAGCATGGCCACACCTCCTAAAGGTTGCATGACACCCCCCCCTCCAACTAGCCCCTCAAACTGGGGACCAGGTGTCCACATACTTGGAGGCTGTGAGGGGCATTCATTCAAACCATCACAACCATTTATCATATATAAGATTTCTGAGAAAGTTGCTATTAACTATATTTTCTCAACAATCTTTTATTCTGTCCATATGCAAATATATTTTTCTAGTTTTAATTTAGTGAAGTTTTATGTTTTTACCATCCCATGTGCAAATGTTTTCTAGATTGCTGGAGTCTGGGTTTTGTTTGTTCGTTTGTTTGTAGTTTTGTTTTGTTTTTGACAGAGTCTCCCTAGTCCCAGCCCACCTAGAACTCACTGTGTAGACCAGGCTGGCCTCAATCTCACAGAGATCTGCCACTGCCTCCTGAGGATATTATATTGCTAGAGGCTATACACATTTTGATTTTTAAGTATAGCAGCAAATGGCTCTTTGTGTCCAGTAGAACTGGGTTTGTGAAAGATGAACTGGATGATTCTGCTCCAAGGTGTGCATCTTTTCTGAGCCTCTAACCTTTCCGTCTACAAAACCTAGGTAATATGAGGACTGAGTGAGAAAATGTATACCCCCTAAGTAGGCATGGGCACCAAAAAGTAGTCCTGTTATGCTCCACATTTTCCTGTATAAAAATCCTACTCGATCATTTCATTATTGTTAGATCACTGAATTTAGAGTTAGAGCATAGTAGACACTCAGCAAACACTGTTAAATGAGTACATGTTTACTCGGTGTGGCAGTGTATAAAGCTAACATAGCAGATTAAGGCCAAGGGTAGACTTGCCAAAATGGGGTCTCTTTTCACCCTGAATTGTGAGTTCTTGGAATATTCAGTATTCATTATATTTATTCAGTGCTTTTACTGTTGTGTGTTTCAGGATGACAGCAGTAGATTGCATAATTGTTTTCTGTAACCAAATTAGCCAGTCATTGATTAGAGCTTAAACTTGAACATAAAGGGAAAGTTGGTTTGAGGGCCTTTGTGTGGGTGCATAGTGAAGTTGAAGTACGCCCTTTGCTTCAGGTGCAGACGTTAAGCACAGACACGCCTAAGAAGGCCAATCCATGTAGTAGCCAAAGGCAAAAGGAAATGAGTCCTTCTGATGCTGTCTCCATTGCAGGTTTTGGTATTTTGTTTGTTAAACAGTTTTTCATTATAATTTAAAAATACTTCATTAAAGTATCTTTTCTGTGACTCAGGTGTTTTGATGCTGTCTCAATTTTGCACCCAAAACAAGTTCTTCGTTTACTTTACCCTGGTCCCACCCAGAGTATGTGGTCTCTATGGCAGAGTTGATAGTCAAGACTGGTGTAAGCCAAACAGTGGGGTCTAGATCTCCACTCAGGCACTTCCTGCTGCTTGAACGTGGCTGGCAAGTTACTTGTTGTCTCTCACCTCTCTTTATTTCTTTTTGGGGCGTAATAAACCTGGAGGCATAGTGAACACCTAGGACCATGCCTAGCATAGTAAATACCCATGCCCACATCCTCCTTGCTATAAAATCAACATAGAATATTTATTTCCCATCATTCATTTCAAAAGTTAATTCTGTGACCCTCTCTAGCTATATTTCTTTTGCTGTGATGGTCTTTACTCTCTGTCCACATACTTTGATTAAATTCTTCCTTCTGCTATTACTTGCCTATGTGCAGTTCCTTTGTATTTGCTGCATTCAGTGTTTTGAGTACCAGTTTGGAGCCAGCTAAAGTGGATTGTGTACATCTGTTCATTGTAATCATTAAAGAGTAAATCTTTGGGGGCGGGAGAGATGGCTCAGTGCTTAAGAACACCAGTTGTTCTTGAAGAAGACCCGGTTTCAAATCCCAGCACCCACATGGCAGCTAACAGCTGTCGGTAACTCCAGTCCCAGGGAATCCAACAGCCTCTTCTGACCTCCGCAGGCATTGCATGACATGGGTACACTTACTTACATGCAGGCAATACACACATACACATAAAATAAAAATAATTTTTTAAAAAGTAAATCTTTGGGAGAAGAAATATATTAATATTTACAGTTATGTTTTGTGTGTTCTTAAAATAAGCTCATGATACAAGAAAAATTGTCTCCTGACTCTTTGATTCCAAGATCAGCTCAGATTAGAATTGCTGATTTCCATTAGTTTTCTCAAAAGAAGTTATAATTGGGCCTCAGGAGAGTCCCAAATTGTTGAGTGTAGAAATGCTTGTTTAGGTACCCAGTACTCTTTGGAATAACTTTTTTTTTTAGAAAGTTATGCATTTCCCTATACTCTACTACAAATTAAATGTCTTTTCTGGATTCGCTAACACTTTGTCATTTGAAGACTGCTTTCTATAAGGAAAGCTACTTAGTTCAGGACATATAGAGTACATATTATAGACCT